TCTCGTCGAGCCACTCGATTCGACTATAAGCATTTCATATTCAATTATCATTTAGTTATCCAATTAATGCTTTGAAGCCTACAAGTATGTATTGGACCATTGATTATTTGGGCACATTTGAGCTCAGATTAATGGATTGATTTTGGTGTCGTTGGATTCGTCTCTTCGAGATGTACAATTCAACTATACGTTTGTTAATATCAGAGCTTAGATGGTTCCTATTTGAGTTTTAGAAGTTTCTTGTATGGATATGTCTCGGGATTCATGCCCGATCAAGACAATTTTTTGTGATATATCACATATTATTCCTAATTAGTAATTAATGACTTTTTATTAGATGAGTATAGGTTAAAAATATTTATTTGCTCCCTTAAAAAACTTATGGGACTATCATCACAAGCTAGATTGGTTTAATGGCAGCATTACTAAGGCTTTATCTGAGACAATTTTCTATTTTTTAGTATAAAAATTTTAAATTTAATAAATTTTTATATGAAAAAGCTTCTTTAGAAAGCAACACAAAAGCTGCCCCAAACAACTTTTAAGTGTTGGCTGCGTACGAATGTGTCCAAAAGGTGTAAACAAAGTTTTTAAATTTAGTTATGATTTCTATTATAATCCCATCGTTAAAGTTATGATAGGCCATTTTGGATTGTTTCTATAAATTTTTGTGTTGTATTTTAAGACATTTAAGAAATATTTAATATGAAAGCTAAGTATATTCCAAAAAATATATTTTAATGAATTTTTAAAATAATATAATATATTTGCAGCAAATTTTAGATTGATGCGCAGGTCACATTTGTCTGTTGGTTGGGAGCTTTGGCTGTCAACCAAGAAATCTTGGGTTAGAGTCTTGCATATGTGTTGTGTGTAAGAGTGTATCTTAATTAGACTATCCAAATAAAAGATATATTTTTTTCCTTTAATAACGAGCAAAGTAACCAATTTATTATGCATTTTTATTCCAAAATAAATTAAAGATGTTAATTTTTAGTTATTTTGATCAATGGAATTGTAAATCAATAATTAATATTGAGATAATATTTATGATAGCTTCCTATGAAATTTCATCATGTGCATTTATATTCATGTAAATCAATTTGATCTAGTGATTGTTTGCTTCCAAATATTATTTGTTTTGTCTCAAATGCTCACAAGGGCATGAAAACAAAGCAAAATGGGGGGTCACCCAAACACCTCTAACAATTAATAACCTATCTCTCTGCCCAATATTCTTACTTGGAATGTTAGGGAGCTTAATGATTGTAGCTGTGTTATGAATTTTAAAAGCATTATTAAAGACCTTAATACTGATGTCTTCTGCTTGGTTGTGATGAAACTTAATAATGATTGTAGCTCTTGGATTTTTAATTCTAGAAAATTTGATTTCTTCCCTCTTGAGGGAAGTTGTAATGACTTTCAAGCCTCTTCTCATGGACGTATATCGATTAAACGGAATGCTACTGCTACAACTTTTTAATTGTCTCCAGATCCATCCTCAGTTTATTCATGGACTATTGTTCATTTCCCCCACTGTCCATATCATGATTACCTTTTTTATGGTGATATAGCGTGCTTGAAAGGAAAGCTCTTTGGAAGGCTCTTGTTGACGTTTTTCTGAATGTTATGAAACCTTGGATCATTTTGGGTGACTTTAATTGTATTAGAACGGCTGACAAAAAAATTGTGGGCAACCCTATTCTCCCTTCCAAATTACTTGATTTTAACAATTGTATTTATAATACTAGTTTATTTGACCTTCATCATTGTGGTCTGGCATATAATTAGTATAATCAACAGCTTCACAAGCCCATTAGATGTTTGTAGACCATGGTGTATGTAATGCTAAATGGTTAAATTCCTTCCATCTTTCGCACTATAAAATCCTTAGCTTAAACACCTTTGATCATTCTCCTATTTTTCTTGAAGTTAGTTCTGAAACCTCCATTTTGAGATGATTCTTATATAAAAATTTTATTGGTCATCTTGTCACAAATTCTTTGGATGAGAGTGCTTGGGATATCCCTGTTAAAAGGGATCGATGTTTGCATTGTCCAACAAACTTTACAATGTGAAAATGGCTCTTAAAGGTTCTAACTATAATTCTTCAACTTATATGCACACTAATTTTTTTATGTTAAAACAAAATCAAGAGTTTATTTTTTTCAATTTAGAAACCAATCCACTTGATAAAAACCTCCTTGATAAGGCTCTTGTTCAACAGGAGCTTATTCAGGCTTTAAAATATCAAAATAATTGGATTATGCAAAGGGCTAAATGTTCTTGGTTTATGAAGGGATAAGATGATCTTAAATTTTTTTATCAAAAAAATTCAAAATAGGAGAAATAAAAATCATATCAAGGAGATTAATACTAATATGGGTCCTATTCACTCTCAATTGAATATTTCAAATGAAGCCACCAACTATTTCTCTTCTCTCTTTAATGATGATCAGGTATCTAATCAAATCAATAATTCTACTCCTCTTGGCCCTTATTTCTCTACTCATGATCAACACCAACTGATGATGTATTTCTCTGATATCAATATTAAAAAAAGCCATTTTTGATATTCGTAACAATAAAACTTCTGGCCCTGATGGTTTCACGTCTAAATATTTTAAAGATGCCTAGAATATTATAGGATCTTCCTTCATTGCAGCAATAATAATAATAAAAAATTCCCACGTGCTTGATAGGATCGGAGGCACAACTATTACTTTAATTCCTAAGTCTTCAAATTCTAGAAATATGATTTATTTCAAACATATATCTCTCTGCAACGTCACTTATAAAGTTATAGCTAAATCACTTAATAATAGACAGAGAATCCTTCTTTCTAAACTTATTCATCAGGCACAAGCTACTTTTATATCTAGTAGAGATATAGCGAACACTACTATCTTAACCAATGAGATTCTAAGAGGGTTCAATCAAAATTTTGTTGTTAGGGCTTTTTATGCTAAGATGGACTTTATAAAAGCATTCGATCATGTTTCCAGATCATTCCTTTGTGATGGACTCCTCTCTCTTGGCTTCCCTGCTATGTTTGTTAGATGGATTCTTGCTTGTACTCAAAATGTCAAATTCCCTGTGATTATCAAAGGTGAATTGAAAGGGTTTTTCAACTTTAATCGTGGTTTGAGACAAGGATTCCCTCTTTCTTTTCTTGTTCACCATTGTGATGGATGCTTTCTCTATACTTATTGGCAATGCTTGCTCTAATTATCTATAAAAGGAATGCTAAAATATCTCATCTTATTTATGATGATGACCTTTTAGTTTTTGGTATGGCTTAAGACACCCATTTTTTGGCATTACACACTTTCTTGATTTCCAAAATGTTTCTATTATGAATCAAGTGTTTAATATTAAAATTCATGAGTCTTCTAACCCCTTTCTCTGGCTTGGGAAAAAAATCATATCCAATGCACATATTTACTCTCATATCTTTCAAGAAGTTCCTAACGTGGGGTGGCATAAGCATATTTGGTTTAAATGTTATGCTATAAACTATGCTTTTCTTGCTGGAAAATTTTTAAAATATGGTCTCAAAATTGTTGATAACCTCCTTAAAAGAGATTTTATGGTTAACAGAATTGTGTTTTATGTACTTATCATAATAAAAGTCGCACACATCTCTTTTTTTAGGGTTTTAGGGTCATTCAGACTCCTTAAAAAATGCATCCCTAATATGTACGTAATTCTTTCATTTAGGAGGCTCCTTAAATTAAGTCTTTAATCAATTAGATTCTATTGGTTGTAAAATTATAAAGATATTCTTCCTTCTTGATGTGCATATTACTGCTTATTTTACCTAGCAAGAAAGGAAAATAATAGAGTTTTCAGAAGAAGAAAAAAAACTAACGACAAAAAAGTGATTGAAAAAATTCATTTTGTCATAAGACTCAAAAGCAAAAGATTGAATATGGAAGTTGGCTTGTTGATATCTTAAAGCTTTATTTCACGTAAAATATTTTACTTTATATGGTTGATTATCTTTCTAATATTTTATTACGTTTGATTGGCTAAATATGTACGACTTTTAGGGATGTTCTTTCTTGATATTCACTTTGAGGGCAAATTATTATGTCCGGTCACCGGACCTTTTTTTAGGTCCGGGCATCCACTAAAAATTTGCCACGTGGATTGTGTTTTGACTCAAAAAAGCTCAGTCAAAAGCGCAGGTAAAGCGCAGGTAAAGTACATGTAAAGCGCATGTAAAGTGCAGTTAAAGCGCAGTCAAAGCGCACAGTCAAAGCGTAATCCACGTGGCAAGTTTTTATTGGATGTCTAGACCTATTTCTAGGTCAGGTGACCGGACCTAATAATTTGCCCACTTTGAGACATTTCATAGACCGATTGTTGGAAGATCGTTTTTAGACATTTCTCTTTTATTGGGGCACCTCTTTGTTCATATCTTCTATTAAGGATGATTAGCAAACTCTTATGTTTTTTTAGCCATCTCGGATGGTTATTACTCTTCAGCAATATGGACAATATTGTGTTTTTATTTTGCTTTTCTTCATTTTTTTAATATAAATATAATATTTTTATGCCTCTACCCATCTTCATAGTAGTTCTAGCATTTGTGAAAACTAAAACTCTTGTGTAATTGATTTAATATTTAATAATTTATTGAATAAATATATCATTAAACTTTTAATATACTTCTCATTCTCTAATCAAAAATTAATTTAATTTATTAAATATTTAACATAACTAATAATACAAATTTAACAAATTTAACTACAAATAAATTTATCTTCTATTATAAATTATTTATTTTATTTATATTACATTTTTATTGTAACATAACAAATGCTAAGTATATTAATATTATTTAGATCATTTATCATTTTTAAATTTAATTTTTATTAATTTAAAACAGACCATTTTTTATCCCTTAAATAAATAAAATAAAAAATATATAAATTGCAAAACCCTCTGAAAAAGAAATTTCTCGGCAACATACGCGAGAATTAAGAGGTCTTCTCCATTGTTTTCCGCCAGCCTATTATCCATCTGTCACCTTCTATCCTCCTCCGCCGGCCTTCCAATTCCCCTAACTCGTAAAATCCTCTCTTGCTTCCACTGCTTACTTCCTCTCTTTTCTTGACCTCTCTCTTCTCAAAACCTCTCCTTTAAGTACAACTCCACCGCAAGTCCGAATCTTTAGGGAGAACCGAAGAACTCGCTCTCTTCTCTTCTCACTCTCTCTCTCTATCTTCCTCGGTCTGTAGTGGAGAGCAGAGAGTGAAAAACAGTTGCAGAGATCAATGGATAGGCTAATAAGAATCGAGCCGACGAACGAGGTCACCGTCAGGCTCGAACCGGGCCAGCGCTCCTACGGCGTGTTCACCCTTCGAAATGTTATGTACACCATGCCGGTCGCCTTCCGCCTCCTCCCGCTCAACCGAAACCGGTTCTCCATCCGACCTCAAACAGGCATCATCGCCCCCCTCGCCACGCTCACCGTAGAAATCACATACCTTGCTCCACTTCCACCGGCGCCATTTCTCCCAGACAGTGCGCCAGAATCCGACGACTCCTTCTTCCTCGACTCCGTCGTCTCCCCTGGAGCTTCTTTCAAAGACGGTGCCTCTGCCACAGCCCTCGACGCCGTCCCCGCTGACTGGTTCACCGCAAAGAAAAAACAAGTTTTTACCGATTCCGCGCTCCGTATCTTCTACGTCGGCTCAGCTGTGTTAGCCCGACTCGTTGACACGGGAGACATGGAGAAGGTTCGCGAAGTGTTGGAGAGGAGCGATCCGGCGTGGCGCGCCGCCGACTCTTCTGATGCGAGCGGTGAGAGTCTCCTCCACCTCGCAATTTCCCGCAGCCGCGCGGATCTTGCGCAGCTCGTTCTCGAATTCGGCGCCGACGTGGAAGCGAGAAGCAGAACAGGGCGGTCGCCACTGGAAGCTGCTGCGGCGGCTGGGGAGACGTTGATCGCCGAGCTACTCCTTGCGCGTGGGGCCTCTACAGAGCGATCCAGCGGATCTCCGTTGGGACCAATTCATCTCGCGGCCGCAGGGGGGCATACCGAGCTTCTCCGGCTTCTACTTCTAAAAGGCGCGGCACCGGAGGCCACCGCTGCTGACGGGCGTACCGCACTGCATCTGGCGGCAGCAGAGCAGCGCCGGGAATGCGTGGGGCTTCTGCTTTCCGCCGGATCGCGAGCTGACGTGTGCGGCGGAGCCGCGAAGGAGACGCCGCTGCACCTGGCAGCGGCGGCAGGGGACGAGGCAACGGCGCGGCTGCTGATATCGAGCGGCTGTGCTGGGCTGAGGGAAGCGAGGAATGGGGCCGGGAAGACGGCGTTCGACGTTGCAGCAGAGGAAGGTCAAAGGAGGCTTTTTGATATGCTTAAAGCCGGCGAGAGCCTTGCGGCGGCCGCGAGGAGTGGGGATGTGAGTGCGGTGGTGAGGGCTATCGAAATGGGAGCGGCAGTGGATGGAAGAGATGGGTTGGGATGGACGGCGTTGATGCGCGCCGGATTCAAAGGCAGGGTTGAGATAATGAGGATTCTGATCGAGAAAGGAGCCGCCTTGGATGCCAGAGACGAGGCAGGGTACACGGCGCTGCACTGCGCGGTGGAGGCCGGACAAGTGGAGGCGGTCGAGGTTCTCGTAAAGCGAGGGACGGATGTGGAGGCGAGGACGGCGAAGGGTAAGACGGCAGTGGAGATCGCGACGGCGTTAGGGTACGCCGGGCTTGTGAGGATTCTTGTTCAGGGAGGAGCCGTGGCAGCGCAAGGGATGGCTGCGCCGGCTGTGGCGCAGATTCCACTGCCGCCGGCCAAAGAGAAGTTGGGAAAAGGGAGGGTTTTGATGGTGAAGGAGAAGGAGAAGAAGGGGAAGAGGAAAGGGGGAAGCATTGTCGCCGGAGCAAGAAGGGTGACGAGCGCCGGGTTTGTTGATCAACCGGTGGCCATGGCGGTGGCAAGTTATTAAGCGCCGGCCAAAGGCCTGTTTAGTCTAGTTTGTGAATCGTTAAGTGAAGTGTGAATTTGAATTTGTTGGAGGAAAATTAAGGATGAAGTGAGATAAAAGATGATTTCTGTGAGTGGAGAAATCAATTCGTTTTAGTTAAAAGTTTGATGTTTGATCCATTAAGGAAGTGTTAATGGTGAAATCACATTATTTTAGACATGGAAATATAAATATTTTCCAATGTAAGTATGATTGATTTTTCAATATCTAATTGTATTTCATATAATCGTGAATAAAAAGCTTTATTTTTGAATTATTTGATAGTTGAGGCAGCCTTTATGTTGTGATATCTATCAAAAGTAGGAACTAACAATGAAGAAATCAAAAAATTATTGTGTGTGGACATCGGACATCCAGAGACCAATCAGAACGCATCACGTCATTTTTTCTTAGTACTGGTGCTCGGTGCCGCCATATACCGGGTGATATGTCACATTCTGATTGGTCTCTTGACCGTCCAGTGTCTGCACATAATAATTTCTCAAAGAAATGACTCTTTTATGGTTGTTTTTTATTACATTTTTTTTTCACTCAGTGGAAAAAAAAAATTTTTCTCAAACGAAATCTTAATCTTGAGCAATCTAATATTTTGATATGCTTAACTGCATAATATGTTTAAGATTTTATTTGTGATAACTTTCTTACTGCTTTTTGAAGTAGAGTTTTTGTATGAAATTATAATTAGATTTTTTGTACTAAAATGCTGCTTTAAAAAGTAATAAGAATGCTATTCCTAACGAAGCCTAAGTAAAAAATATTATGTTTTGGCTTAAAATGAGCTAGCCCAAATAAATTATGTTGAATTTGAAGAATTTTGGTAGATCATGTAAGAGCATATTTGAAATGTAGTAGTGGCACACAGTTCACCTTGGTTTGTTGATTGCAAATTTAGGCTATCAAACAAGAGTTTTTAGGTTCGAGTCTTGTGTATGCAATGTATGTGTGAATTTGTCTTAATTGACCTAAATGCCCCCCCAAAAAATATAGTAGTGGTGTAGCCTTTCGGCTTGGAACAGTAGATTGAAGATATAAAAGATTATATCTCAAAAAAAATTTCTGTGTGGCATTCAGACCGGAAGAATTATTCGGACATGTGAGTTGTACACAGTGTATGTCAAATTACACACAGTGTGTACACTCGCAGTCCAGACGAATCATCCGATCTGAATGGGCGACATGTTATTGGCGGCCGAACGTAGTTCTACGTCCGGTCAGAGGACGTAATAATTGCTCTGAATAGAGAGTCTTACCACCGGCATGCTGCTTCTAGTCATTAATGCTCAAGTGATAATGTGAATTTCATGTTGTTTTCAATTCTTGAGTAGAAGTTGCTATAAGAGAAGTTGTTGAAGATAGTAGCTTGTCTAAGTTGGCAAGCGAAATATAAAATTAAAAGATAATTCTTCTATCTTTAAAGTCTTCAAGTTTGTTAAAGACTTCTTCTATTGCTTGGGATATATTAAATTATTTAAATGTATTTTTAACAAGTGGCATAAAAACATTGAACCGCAAACATTAGTCATCACGTCATATTTAGGTTTCGTTTGGAATAGTTTTCTTATTATTTTATAAAATAATTTTTTAGTATAAAAATTTTTTGAATATGAAAAATTTTTAATTAAAAAGTTGCTTTTGAAAGCAATAAAAAAGCTGTCTCAAACGAAACCTTAAATTAGGTCTGATAACTTCATTTGTTGAGATGATTTTTGCTACGAACATAAAATTAGGGTAGTAATTCAATCAAATCAAGTTGAATATATAATGAATTTTAATATAGTCAAATGATAAGTTATTCATATTTAAGATAAGCTCAAGCTAAAGCTTTTACGTCTAGATTTATACTTGATTTATTTAGAATTGTTTATGACAGAACTTGGCTTGTACTTGACTTGCTTAAATTAATCAGAATATACATTGATAATTACTTCAAATGTATTAAGAGTCATAGAGAATATGACACTTAATTGCCTCTCTTTTTTTAATGGTGTACTTCATGTGTGAGATTTTATTCATTGTTAGTATTATTTGATAGTTGGATTATTACTAAAAACTTTCTCAAGTCTTTAGTTTGCATATGACTCTTAATCTTTTATTATTATTGTTAAGCTAAGCTTAAACAAGTTTATTTTCTTAAAATCTTTCTTTTATTTAAGGGAACTTTCGTGATTGTTGAGGAAATAAATCACATGTAGCTAACACAAAACAAGAAAGAGAAAATAAAGCGAAAAGAATACCAGAATTTAACATGGAAAAATACAAAATAAAAAAAAACCATGAAGCCACATTACACCAAAAAAATTCACTATAAAATGAGAGAAATTTATATCAATTTCTTTCTCTCTCACTCTCTTCTTGTCTCTCTTCACTCTTGCATTATTCTCTTACACAAAAAAAAAGCACATTAAAAATCACCAAGATCACCAAGGGAAGCAACCCTTCATGAAAAATGAGAATAAAAAATACATAACCCCCCTCGTAGCACCAAGTTTGGAGCACAGCTACACTCTACTCTGTCTTCAGTCTGCATTACAATGATGCAGTAACGAGGGTCAAGGCCACTACAGGAAAATCTGTCATTACCGTCGGACATTTTGTCGGAAATATTTACGTCGGTAAAACTGGCAAATTTACTGGTGGATTTACCGCCGATAACTTAACGGCGAAATGTCTAGCTCAATTTTCGTCGCCGAAACACCGGCGCATATTATGCTGGCCTTTCGCCGGTATTTTAAAGGTTTCTGGCACATATTTCCGTCGGTAAGACGGTAATTACCAGCAAATATTATGTCGGCTTACTTAAACTCAACAAAATGTTACCTACGCATCATCTTCCGGTAACATAACCAACGGATAATCCGTCGAAAACACGCCGGTACATGCTCTATTTCGACCCGTCCGCCATATGACTTCTCATTTATGTCCCGACCAAACCCCGTTCGCTTTCTTTCTCTTTTTCTCTCTCTCTCTCTCTCTCGCTTCCGAGAACTTCCGTGTCAGATTTCTTGTGTTACCGACAGATTTTATTCGCCGATAAAAACACATTTTACTATAGTGGAGGTCGCAGCACGAACGTTTGGAGGGTTGCAGCCCTGCGCTCTTTCTCTCTCTCTATCTGTACATCATTTAATTTTTTAAAAAGAAACGTTCATATATTTCATAAATATCTTTAATTTGTTTGCCTCAAGTTGAATTTAATGACACAAATCCTCCCAAAAAATAATAGGAAAAAATTGTTTAAAATATTTTGATCAAATTTTTAGTTAGGATAAATCTCTAACATCAATAAATTTGTTTTGCAATAAATATAATATCAATTTTAATTAATTTCTTATAAATTATATCTATCTCAAAATAAGATATTAAATTCTAGCATCAAAATTAAAACTTTATTTCAACACATCTATTTTTTTCAAAATAATTATATCTCTAAAAAAAACTTGCATTTTATTTAGTTCGGAATCTTAATCTAATTCAAATTATATTCCTTTTTGTCATAATCTAAATGTCCTGTTCTGCAGAACAAACGGTATGTCTTATATCCTTATAAAAAAATAATATTAATATCAACAAGGCATCAAGAGATAAAATAAAAATTAAAGTAGGCATAAAATTTATGACAGTTCAGTTTTCATTTAATTAGAAGAAAAAAATATATAATTTTGTTTTATTGGAACAATTTGAAAGTAAGAGACTAACATGCCACAATTTTATTTTTTTAGGAATGTTGACATATATTTATTTATTTTTTATTTTTTTTCCGAAAAGCTTTTTTATTTTTTTTATTAATAAGATCAAGATCGGTTACAACATCAAATGAACAAAAAAAAAAAAGGCAAAATACAAGCAAGAGAGGGCTCAGTAAAACGGCGAAGGCTCCCAGCATCCCAGAAGCCTCGCACGGAGCATCCAAAAGGAGACGGCAATGCCCAAAAGCCACCAACTCAAAGAACTGAACCAATGGTTGCCACCAGCAAGACTAAAGGGATACGAGCCCCAGCCATATCATTGCCCAATAAACCAGCGCAGCGCACCACCAATCGCAAAAAACCAATCCGCACAAACATATGGAAAAAAAACAACATACAGAAAAGTTATCTTCTCCTCCGTTCCCTCCTACGAAATCTCCCACGAGAGGCAACCGAGATAACATGCCTATCACGAACCAAATTAAAATCGCTTCCAGGGTCAGATCCACCGCAAATGTCCGGAGAAGCCAATCCACAATCCGAAAAGTCGGATTCCGATCAAACTCGGACGAACCATTCAGCCAATCTATATGGTTCCTCAAATCAAATCCAGAAAATTCCCCCAAACAATTAACCATAGTATGCGTATCAACCAAATTGACTGGGACATCAACAAAATTGTTAGAACACACCGAATTTTCTTTCAAATTATCCACTTACACACACTCAGTATTGTTATCCACATTGACATATATTTATAATAGCACTAAAAATATTTTACTAATATAAAAAAAAATTAAATTTTGCAAGAGAAATTTGAAACAATTTTCACACTGTCTTTGTAATATCTATTTTAGACTTCATTTGGGACAGTTTTTATATTGTTTTCTAAAATAATTTTATAGTACAAAATTTTTAGTTTAAAAAATTGTTATACTAAAAATAAATTTTAAAAGCGATAAAAAAGTCATCTCAAACGAAGTCTTAGGCTTAGGCTTCGTTTGAGACGACTTTTTTTATTACTTTTAAAGCCGCTTTCTAGTACAAAATTTTTAATTTTTGTATTAAAAAACTGCTTTAAGAAGCAGTAAAAAAGCCGTCCCAAACGAAGCCTTAGTTGCGACGGTTTTTTTTAGTGCTTCTTAAATCAAATTTCTAGTATAAAAATTTTAGTTTTTTATTAAAAAAATTGCTTTAAAAAGCAGTAAAAAAAAAGTCATCACGAAGCCTTAGGATTTTTTTGGGACGGCTTTTTTGTTGCCTTCTAAAACAACTTTCTAGTACAATTTTTTTTTTTTTTGAATTAGAAAATTTAATACTAGAAATCTATTTTATGAAGCAATATGAAAGTTGTTCCAAACCAAACCAACATAATCCAAGCTGCATATCCTCTTTTATCTCCATCTTCTTTTTCCAAAATTAAAGCCAATATAATTTGACAACCTCAAGGCCTTGATAGACCCACCACATCAAACACTTAGGCTTCATTTGGTACGACTTTCTTCCTGCTTCTTAAAGCGGTTTTCTAGTACATAGATTTTAATTTTTGTACTACAAAGTCGCTTTAAGAAGCACGAAGAAAGCCATCTCAAAAGAAACCATAATCTTTGTTTAAGATAGTTTTCTCATTGCATTCTAGAACAACTTTTTAATACAAAAAATTCTAATTAAAAAAAAAAACTATTAACTAAAATATTATTTTAGAAAGCATTAAGATAATTGTCCCAAACTAACCCTTACACTTCATTTGGGACAATTTTTTAAATTTATAAAGCAGCTTTTTTACACAAAAAAACTAATTAATTCAAAAAAAAAAATTTTCACTCATAAACCGTAAAAAAATCGTCCCAAATAAAATCTTAGTAGGTCCTAAATATGGCATCAACTGTATTGTTTTTCCTAGTAATTGCCTTCGATGCCATCAACTATTTGCCTGTTGACAGCATCGAGTCCTTCAACATACTGAGCCTCAAGTTCGCTGCTCAGTTCTCCTCTCCACTACCATTAATTTCTCCCATTGAAGACCTCTCACGCTCTCCTAAACAAGAAGTAAAAGGAAGGGAATCTCTTCAAAGCTTCATTGCAAGAATTGCTTCAGTTCTCCTATAATCACTCCATTAAAAAAAACACATTATGGATTACATCATTGTAACTGTATAAAGAGGGATTTTACTTCATGGGAGGGGAGTTAAGCGCATCTCCAATCGAAAAACTCATTTTTCATTCCAGGATACAGTAAAACTCCATAATACAGTAATTCATCTCCAATCGAACTCTATTTCTTTCTCCTCTTTCGCGTGCTTCTTCATCTCTAACCATCTTTCTCCTCTTTCGCACGCTTCTTCGGCAAATCCCGTAACACAAAAAATTATCATAGGTGAACAGTGGACGTCAATATTGGCGTCGCATTGTTCACCTACTAAATTTGGACGTGTGATTTAGCGTTCGAATGGAACGAATGGATCGAATGACGGACGGCATTAACTGATAGAATTATTTCATGAATCAAAGCAACATCAGATTGAAAACACCGATCTTGCACAAGTTCAAGCGAAGCTCCAAATCAATCTTAAAACTTGAATGAGAATGATACATATGCATGTGTCAATACGCATTAATTGTTTCAGAAAAATACTTTAAAATTCGAATTAACTGATACAATTATTTCATGAATCAAGTATTGCAGATCTCCTGCTGGTACACAAATCACCAGCTTCTGAAAGACCTATTGATATAGTGCCCTCCTGTTTTGCTGGTAGGTAGTTGCGAGAATATCTGTAAAAATGAATATGATTCCAACAAAAAAATTTCAGCAATATAAATTTGAACTTGAAATTCTATAGTGAAAAAAAATTCAAGGAAGCAACGCTTGATCCTGTGCACTCAAATTAGCAAACTATGGAGTGATTTTTAGAAGAATTAAACATATTGCATATAACCCTTATAATGTGTTTTATAACAACTTAAAGGGCTAATACTCCTAAATTCTCTGATGCTAAGTTTATATACTCGTCTAATGGATATATTTTCTACCCTTATTGTGCATATACAAACCACCTAACTATTTTTTAATTATCTCGTCTTCAATAAATGTCACTCCAACCATTTATTTAATATAATTATTCATAAATTTATCCTTTTTAGATTTTCACACATTTATCTTGATATTCTCAAATCAATCATGCTCAACTTAGACATCAATATCTTTTTAGTATCATTGATTTGAATTCAAATAATATCATCGACTTAATTGTGATGTTATTAAATTTACCTTTTAAGTCTCCAAAATATCCTCTTACCACACAATATTTAAGGCACTCATCCACTTTAGTCTTCTAATATTAACTCTAGAAGTTATATCCTCGTCTATATCTTCATTTTTTTTTCATAATAAATCCAAAATAATTAAAGATGCCACACCTTTAAGTCTAACGATCCTTAAACAAAAATAATGATATCTATGTTTGTTCTCCTGCTGGTTTGCAACTTATCTTAAAACTCTATAACAATGCAAAATAATCTCTAGATAATTTAGATATGTAGTCGTCATGTATGCAATTACTCTTACTACTAGCATCCTCCCAAGAACTCACACACTAAAAGACATGCATAAAAACATAAATAAAATTAGAGCCAGAGGAAAGATGAAAACTAATTGGTTAGGTACTAAAGGCAAAGAAAGTAAGTCGGTCCATTTAAAGGAGTTTCTCCAAGAATCAGACCACCTTGATACATTTTCAATTTTAAATTGTGAATTGAATTGCAATTAAAAGGACTATGGTGATGAGGAATTTGATTTTGATGTATCTCTACTCAAATCCTTCTTAATCAAGTTCAATTCAAGCTAGAATTGATGAGTTCAAGGAATGCCAATAGTTTTCAGTGGTGAATGCCAACGATAGTTGCATACTTTCAAGTTTTGCATTATTTCGAACGGTCATAATGTTAGAGGTATTATAACCGTGCCATGAAGTGGTCATAAGACAATGGATGTAATCCTCATCATCAACAACAAACAGTAACTCAATATCAAGCCTTTATCCAACTACGCGGGGTTGACTACATGAATCCTTTTTTCTCATTGTATTCTTTTAAGAGTGAAATTCTCATTTAAATCTTATAAAGAAAGGTCATTTCTACTATTTTATAACCTAAGTCTTTTTAAGCCTACCTCTACCTTTTTTAACATAAGCAAAATCTAATACAGCTATTCTCCTAACTGGGTCATCGGAAGGCCAACATTTTATGTGACTAAACCATCTAAGGCGACTCTCTCTAATCTTATCTTCCACCAGTGCTAACTCCAACCTTTTCACGTATATGCTTGTTTCTTATCTTGTCTCTAAGAGTGAAGCCACTCATCCACATGAGCATCCTCATCTCTGCAACACTTAACTTAATATTATTCTTCCCTTTTAATGGCCAACATTTTACACCATAAAGTATTGCAAGTCTCACCACCATCTTATAAAATTTTCCCTTAAGTTTAAAGGGAACTTTTCTATCACACAAGAAGCCCGATGCATTCCTCCACTTTAACCATCCAACTTGAATTCTACTAATAAGATCCCCATATATTTCAGCATCACTTTAAACAATAGAACCAAGATATCCAAAATGTGTACTCTTAGTAATGACTTGACTGCCCAAAGTCACAATCCTCCCACTAGATCTATTACCACTAAAATTACACTTCATATATTCAGTTTTAGATATACTTAAACAAAAACCTTTAGCCTCTAAGGTTAACCTCCATAATTCAAGTTCTCCTTCAACTCCCCCTCTAGTCTTATCAACAAGAAGAATATCATCAACAAAAAACATACACAAGGATACAACCTCTTGCAAATGTTTAGTAAGAACACCCATGACTAAAGCAAAAAGATATGGGCTTAAAGCTGATCCTTGATGTAATACAACTGAAATAGAAAAATACTTGGTCAAACCACCTTGTGTTTGAAAACAGGTGACAACTCCTGCATACATATCCTTAATGAATAATGACTTGCATAGAAGCATGAATAACCCTTTTCTTCTCTAAAACTCTCTATAGCACTTCTCTTGAAACTTTATGATATGCTTTGTCTAAATAAATAAATATCATATGGAGATCCTCCTTATTCTCTCTATACTTCTCCATCAAACCTCTCAACAAATTTTTATTGTTTAGCTTCCATAGTAGACCTACCCAGGATGAATCCAAATTGATTTTGAGAAACATTAGTATCACATCATAACCTTTGCCATCCTCATCATCACCATAAAAAAAATAGCAACATTTAAATCATTCTAGACACCTAGGTGATATTCCTCAGTTAACTAGTAACATTAACAGGTTCTGTTTTTATAAAGGTTTCCCATATTCAGTCTAGAAGCCTGGCAAGTGAGAAAGCTTACTTTTCTTCATGACTTTCAGAACCTATAACAAAAGATGAACTACCATAAGCATCAATTAATGGATATATGAGAAAATCACAATTTTTTTAATAGGGAAATCAACGAAATAAACTTGAGGAATTCTGATTGTACTAAATATAGAAAGAATTTGACAGAAACTTCAACGGAGGGAACAATAAGATTAGCATATGAAATAGATGACTAAAGCGGTGGTATTCTCAATGCAAGCACAGATGCATTGCATCAGCTAATAAATGCTTTTAATGTCTAGGGGCACAATTCGCCTGACAAACCATAATGCTGGATACATTGCAATAACCTATATTTTGATTAAATTTGAAATTTTATCATTTGATTTGGATTTAAGACTTCAACTAAGAATATTACAAATCAATGCCCACTGATATATGCAGAACAACCATTAGAAAATTGTTAGACCGGTCTCTAGTGGACCAGTCCAACCCAAACCGGCCCCTTGAATGGGCCGGTTCTTTGCTACAGGAGGGGCGGCGGCAAGCCATGGGGAGAGAGGGAGGAGTGGGCCCCATCAGGAATTCAAATTCAAACTATTTATGGCGAAGGAGGGGGCGTCAAGGGCCAGGGAGTAATTTGGCTTAATTAATTAATTGTATGCTTTAAGAAGGACAAAGGAATTAGGGTTAGGTTTTCATGCATGATTATTGTATCTCTTGGAGTTCTCTTTAGTGTTTTGGGCTCTAAACTTCAAGTCTAGAGATTGGGAGAGAACGATCCTCCTCTCAAATTGGATCAATTGTATCTTTGTTTCGTTCTTGCTTCGCTTTGATTTCTATAAGATTATCTACTGTTTTTTATTGTTTCCACCAAAGTTCTTCTATTTTTTCTCACTGTTTTACAGATTATTGTTAGGTTTGCTTCCGAACTCAGTATTTCTCATTAGGGTTACTTGCGAACTCAAGTATTTCCTATCAAAAATCCAATAAAAATCATGAATTGTTGATTTGGCCTCATGTCCAAGACGCAGCATCATCGTCTGATCAAAGCCATGTCTCAACCATGGATCAAATCAAGTTCAGGTAACAAGGGACCTACAACTCAATTCTTGAAGGCTAGCACCCAAGATCAAACGATAAACTACCATAGCCGAGTGACACTTCTGAGTTATGGAGCTGACAACGCCATGTCAATAGAAACCAAGAAACAAAGCTGAGATAAGAACCAATCACCTTACTTGAGCTGGAGCAACAACGGATGAATCTTCTCTAAAATAATGATCAACCCATTTTGTTGGACAATCACAACTTTTGCACAAAATTCCCATTGACAGGCTCCTATAGATTATAGTTGAACCATCGTCAATCAATCTCCCAATAACCAACATGTGGTCAGTATTCCCTATCTCCATAATGGCTAACAAAACGGGCACAATCATTTCCCCTCTACCACGAGCACAACAAATTGTGAACAACCACTCCACCCTATCAACCTCTCCATGCCTGCAATGGGGCCACTACTCCCCAAAATATTCATAATGACTATTGGGCAAGTACAAATCCATGCCATTTTCCAATTTGATTGCAACAGGAAACAGCAGCAGCAAAAATAACCATGGAAGTGATTATTGGCTTTTCTTGCCTACAGCCAATTGTGCACCACAACTCTCTTAGGAAAATCGATCAAGCCATGCATAAGACCCAAATTAGATTCAAGACCTTGCCTACCACGAATTGGGCCAATTACCAAAGACCCGCAAATAACAACAAGCATGTTGCCAGATGAAGAGACTCTCAAAATCATCTAGTTTAGCATTTCACCCCAGAGGACAGCTCCAATCCATCTCAGACATCTCATCAAGACATCAACAAGAGATGAGTTCTACATAACATATAGCAGAGGAATTAAACACCAATGCCAAGAAAAAATAAGCTATATACATCTATATGTACCTTATCAATCTCTTTCTACTCATGTCAAATCTTACAAAGATTATTCTGTAACTACACCTACAAATAAAGGATCTCAAAACCCAATAAGATCATTGTTTCTCTGCAAAGAAAAATACCACCTCTACATGATCTCATCTCAATGCTCTTTTCCTAATATTGCTCCTATAATCTTTGTATAGTCTTTCAAGGAAAGTCAAAGGATAATATCAAAGTAATCTTCTTAGGATTGATTCCATTGATGTCATCCTAAAATTGCCTAATTGAACATCATGCTGCTTAAACTTAAGTAAGGCTTGTCCGGACTCCACCAAGCAACTTTGAATCTAACACCAACCAAATCCTGTGGATATCTCTTGTAACAATGACAGAGGATTATTTACCTTTTTGAAAAAACTAGTTGCAACTAAGAGCAATGAGTAGAAGAAAAACTAAGCTACAGGCTTAAATGCTTCATTTGTGACCCTTAAACAACAAAATATAACGAAGGAGACATTTCTCCTTCCATGGCCATTATCCATTGTTTCTTCTATTTTTTCCTAGACTCTTTCTCCTTTATTGCTCCCATTACTTTGACACAATCCTCCCTCTAAATTAGCACTATCATTCAAAATTTGCATTACTCTTTAAGGTGCTAACTTTGGTGTCAGTATTTGGTACTCTCATTGAGATATGATAGTTCAAAGAAAAACAAAGTTGTGCGACCCCTGTGAACTGTCATGAGACAACAATAGTCAATCAAACATTAGTCGACTAGTTAAAGATTTTGGATTTGATCCAACTTCTACAGGCTACAACCTTAATCTCCCTCATATGATGTTTGGTAAATGATATGATTATCCACGTGAACTCCTCACGATATTGTCTTCGATTTCAAAAGTATCATTTAAGAATAAGCATCCTTATATTTATTCATCCAGAAATCGGGTGATTCATAATCAACTAACTCAACCTTATGATCCCTTTACGAAATAATGATCAAACTATGATGGAAGCTTCTTCGCATAGACTTTTAATTTATGAAGTTGGCTATCAAATTTGCTATCCTATTCATGATCGAATCCCCAAATCAAGACTAACATTCAATATCACAAGCATAGTAATTGTTAAAGAGCAACGTCAATTTGTGAGCAAATGATGCTAGGTTGGTAGCAACCAAGGAATGAAGCTGAGATAAGATTCAATGACTTGATGCAAGCGACTAACGACTGATCTCATCCAACAAATAATGACCGACCTCTTTTGGCAGATTTTCTTCTACACAAAAAACCTTTGCATAAAGAACCACTACTGCTCTCCATATATCATACCAAGGTCAATTATTTATCAGCCATTAAAATACTTACAAGTTCCCACTCCTCCCTAAAGCCTAGTTAGTGGCTAGCAGAATTGCACTCATCTCCCATCTACCACCTCCCTGAAGCCTAGTTAGTGTTGAAATCGAACACCAGACTGGGAGAGACGAAATGCAGGAAAGCTCATTGCCCATGAATACGTAATACAAGCCTATATATAGAATACAGGAAGGAAATGAACGGTACAGATCTAATAGTAATCTACGGCACATATTTCACTGTCATTTCCTTTGTTAACTTGTTTTAATATGCTAACAGTTAGTGTCTAGCAGAATTACACTCATTTCCCATCTACCACTGCCAAAACAACTAGTCAATAGCCACTTTGCTTTATCAGCCTTTCCACATGCCATGTGGTTACCCCTCCATGCACTTCTATAGCATGCAATGAACCGGTATGCCTCCCTATCACCTTCTAATCTGATCATAAAAAAGACGGGGCAGCAAAAACATCAGCAGTAAGTGCCTCCCGGCTTCTAATGACATGTAGCGCTCCAAATCCTCAATATATACCCATTGTAAAGATCAAGAAATTACATTTCTCCCCTTGAGACCTCTAGACAAAGCTAAAAGTGTAACTCTTGAATTATACGAAAAAAAGGGATACATCACCTTCCTGAAGTCACTACTCCATTGATTCTAGATCTATTATTCCCGTGTGTCTTCTTCCTTCCTCTCTCACTGAATTCCTTAACTATCCACACCCACCAAAGTAGTTCTTAGAGTCAAAGTTTGCATAACTCTCTAAGGTGCCAACCTCAGCAACAACAACAACAATCAAGGAAAACAAAAGCCTGTTTTTCCAGTTAGACTCCATGCAGCCCATCTAGAGCCCTAACCAATCAATAACTAGGCAAAACCAAACCCCAAATAATAAAAAAATGTTCAAAAAATACAATACAGTAACCGTAAAAGGCCATAATACTAGAACAAAAAATCTAGCAGAGAACACAATAGCAGGATTCGGGCTAGATTTTTCTTTACCGAAAAAAAAGGATAACCCTAGTCAGCTCGGCTCCTAGACGTGGCCTCAAGACGGAGCTTCTTCGAGGCGAGGCGGTACCGTATAATGTCCATAACAGATGCAAGCTTCCGGAGCCGATCTCGCTCCGCGTAGGACTCTGCCAGGCGTCGGCGAAGTTCTGCGGCGCGGGCACGCTCCCTCTCGAGCTGCGCCATCGACTCGACAAGCCTAGCCCTCGCCGCCGCCAGCTCAACGTTGGTCACAGCCAGACGCGCCGTCACCGGCGTTATCGTCAACGTAGACGCCGGCCGCCGGAGATCATTGCGGAGATTTTGCCCTTGGCACATCCTTTCGCCGCTTTGTCCTTCGCTCGCGCTCGCTGGTTGCAGTGAGTTTGACAGCAGATTGAAGAAATAAGGCCCAGATCATCGCTTCACCAGACGAGGAAATCGAATAGGCTGCTGTAGGTGTAGCCGTACTTGTAGCCGCACGTTGATTGGCTAGGACTCTGTGGGGCCACGGAGTGGCTGGACTAGGAAAGCCCAAAAATACTGGACTTATGGAGTTTATTGGGCCTGTAATACTGTGCTAAGGCCCATATCATTGCTTCATAAAGTAGTTTTAAATAAATAAATAAAAAAAATTTTTGAGAGTGCTATTATGAAATTTTATTTATCATATATTCCAAATCCTTCAACTTACTTTAAGACTTGTGCAATACAATAATTAATAAACTAAATAAATTCAAAAAAATTTAAATTATTTTTTACCAAATTTTCTTCAAATATCAATCAATTCTTCTCCATTTAAACCCAACTCCTCTATATAGCATATTAAATATAGGAGTGTGATTTCAAGAAACTGATTGGCCAAATTATATTTTATTACTCTATACTACCTAAAGATTTTATAGAAATATGATGATCTACACCATTTCCTTGGACATTATTGGTGATTATAATGACATATAATATAAAAAAAATGATTAAGAGGAATTAATTTGATGTTAATATTTTTAATCACATTGCTTGAAATATTTAAATCATAATAATAAGATAGTATTTCATCTCCATCATATACTCATTTATCTCTCAACAAATCATCATTTTATTTTGTCCATATTGTTCAGATCCCTTACTTAGGCTTTGATTAGGACGACTTTTTTATTGCTTCTTAAAGCAATTTTCTAGTACAAAAAAATTTAATTTTTGTATTAAAAAGATGCTCTAAGAAGCAATAAGAAAGTCATCCCAAACTAACCCTTAGTTGAAATCCTTTGCTTCCTCTAAAGACCTTTAAGCCTATAGCTTAAATAAATTGCAAGCCCCAATGAAACCATTACCCCCAATATCACACAAAGTATGACCACCTTACGCTTGTTGACAACAGAAGCAACAGCAACAGCTGCTGATCCTTTCCTTGCACTTCCTATAGCGGCTTTATCCTCTGTATAATCTTCAGTAGTATTTTCACCTGAAATTCTGTCTTTCTCTTCCACTTTCTCCTGCATCTTTGGAACTTCCTTCTTGCCAAGAGAAGAGGCTTCTTGTTGAGTACTTGTGACAGTTGAAGAGTCTTGAGGTTTTGTTGGTATTGTTGGAATGAACTCAGGGGTTGTAATTGAAATTGGCAAAATGACATAAAGAAGACCTTCATCTCCATCAAACTTGGCTTGGATTCCTCTCATGTTCCTGTTCTTTGGGATGGTGAAGCTTCGAAGAAATCGACTCCAATGGCTTCCTTCAATAGGCCGCTCGCCGCTGATCTTGAGGTTTCCTGCTGAGTTTATCAGAACTTTCAGTTGTTCCTTCTTGAATCCTGCATCATAAAGAAAGAAAAGTTGCTCAAACAATGAGAGTTCGGACTTTTGAATTGTTGAAAAAGAACTGAAGTTCAGATGTTTGTTTTTGAATCTGTTGAGGATATAATGATGAACTGAATGAAAACTATGCCTTGTGATTTTCTTCAGAAGAAGTAATCATGGAAGAATTCTATCAAAATTTCCTTCATTCATGAGATTGTATCCATTGTTCCCCAGTACTCTAGACTCTTTTTTTATTTTATTTTCTTCTATAGACAGTCACTATAGGAAAATGACTTGTAAAAATCCGCCGGAAATATAAGATTTCAGGCGAAATTCCAGTGCAAAATGATCCAACGGTAATTCGAGTGTCGGAAAATTTAAATCGGCGAAATTTTTCTGCCAAAAATATTTCCAGCAGCGTTTCCGGTGAAAAATTACAAGAAACCAGCACCTTTTTGTGGATAACTATAAAGAGGAGGATCTACATATGAAATTTTTGTGGCGTATTCCGGCGTATAATCCGCAGTTAATTCCAGCGGAAACTATACGTCGAAAATACAGGCGGATAATTCGCCGCCTTAAGCCACCGAACTGTTATCTACGGACTTCACCATCGAAATATCCATCGAAAATTCCAGCGCAAATATGCGCCGGTATTCGTACGACAGAAATTACGTCGAAAATTTTCTGGCATATATTATGTCGGTTCTGTCGTCGCATTTTCAGGGTATTTTTTTCAGCCAGAAACTCCGACGATAATGACATATTTTCCTATAGTGAGTTCCTTGAGTCCATAAGAATATTACTTATCATCACCATCAACTATTAATAGTGCCTATTCATTAAGAACTATGCTCTGCAATTTTGATCAGAATAATGAACACATCCAAACCTATATGAACTTACCTGAAACATCAACAATAATTGTGTCACTTTCCTTTCCCTTAAACCATTCTATTCGTGGCTCAAAATCTACATAAGAGCGAGGATCTACGGAAGTGGAAGCCATTTTTCTCTCTTGGGACTGAAAGAGCACTTCCTTCTTCTTCCTCTTTTTCTTTTTTTGCCTCTAGTTGGCAGTTTTCAGTATAAGGATTTGTAGAGATGAAACTATGATCTGCATTTGATCCTTCTATATATATTCAAGTACAGTAAGTCTTCAAATATGTTTTCTCCTTTGAAAGCTATTCCTTTTTGTTTCTTGTATTTGCTGAACTGTAACATATATGCCTGACCTCTCTAGTGGGTTAAGTAGATGGTTCCTTTCTTTGATTTGCACTTCTTCTGATGCAGCTTTCTTGTTTTTGTTTTCAATTTTTTTTTTAATAATCAATATATGATGACTTTGTCCTACAAAAGTGCTTCAAAAAATGCTTTTTTTAGTGGTTTTGATCAGGTTTACAGTGACATTATGTTAATGAAAAACACTTGGAAAACAAAATGGCTTGTTAATTGCTTTTATCGTTTTGCTACATTTTTTGTGGTACTCTTAAGTTTAGTTTGCGACGGCTCTCTTACTGCTTAATAAAACAACTTTTTAATATAAAATTTTAAATTTTTGAACTAAAAAGTTGCTTTAAGAAGCAGTACGAAAGATGCCTCAAATGAAGCCCTAGTGCACAGCAGGTTCTTTACGATCAGAACTAGTCACAATAAATAGTGCTCCTGTAATGCTACATTCAGTTTGTAGTGTTAATGAAATTAAGATTGTAGTAGACCCAAAACCTAGAACTCGTCACAAACCAATCCGTTAATCAAATCATTTTAATCATTAACATAAAATGTAATATTAAGAGAAGCATAATACTAAGTGTTGCAAAGATGAGGATGCTTGGGTGGTTGAGCGGATTTATTCTTAGAGACAATATATGAAATTGAGCATATACGTGAAAAGGTTGGAGTAGCTCTAGTGACAGATAATATTAGAGAGAGTCGCTTTAGATGGTTTGGTCGTATAACGGAAGCTTTTTTGATGAACTGGATAGGAAGGTAGATGTATTTGATTTGACTTATGTTAAGAAAGGTAGAGGTGGACCTAAAAGACTTGGTTAGAGAATATTAGAAATCGTCTTTCTTTATTATATTTAATGATAACTTGACTCTTAATATGACACAATGAAGAAAAAATGATTCATGTAGTCAATCTCACGTACTGGGATACACGCTTAATGTTGTTGTTGTTGTTTGTTATAACAAAAAATCATAACTAATAGAAGGTTCAATCATATTGTTAGGATTTGGTCCTTTTAGTTATTAATCAGCAAGACACCATGCAAGTGCCTTTATATATTTCGTTTGTCTAGTTTGTATCTATGGAAATAGAAATAAGATAAAATTCTGTTTTTCCCTCTTCAAGAAAAATCCTATGTGCTCTCTTACTTTCCCTCTCTCCCTCTACATTCAAGAAAGTTTTCTTCCTCTCAAGATTTCCCAAGAAACTAGTATCAGAGCTTGGTAGAGGTAGAGGAAGGTTATTATCCAAGAAATAAAGGAGGAGGAGGCAACGACATGTGTGGGAACGAAGCCTGGTGGAGTGGAAGGAGGAAGTTTCTTGGGGGACTCTATAGATTGGTCGCGGGAGCCTTATGTTGCTCATGTTGAAGCGGGTATGAAGCGAATTGGAGGTGCAGTTATTCTGGGATAGGTGGGCGCTGGGCTCGCCCAGGAGGCAGGTTGGACGCGACTCATGAGCAAATGTGCGAGTGATTGCGCTTGAGCATGGGTGGATCGTGCGAGAAGCATGTGTTACGCTAGGCGCGGTGGCCACGTGAGTGAGGAGCGTAGAATCACGGGCACAGGTGGCTTCACAAGCTAGCAAGGGTGATCAGATCTGGGCTTCTTGTGTGGGAGAACCTTTACACGGGCGGTGTGTAGGGGATTCAACCTGTGTCGGGAATACAGGCAGGCATATGTTCATGCCGGCAAGACGCTGGTTGGGAGGAGTAGATTGGAGCGGCAGGATCGACAACTGGACATGTGGGGCACAAACGGGAGGCTCACACACGGGTTAGTGTGACGATGGATCTTGATCCTCAGACGACTGTGTGACGTTATGGCGGAGGCAATCCAATGCAAAGGGTTTCATGTTCTTATTAAATATCTATTTAGGTCTTTCAGATTGAGGCTTTTCTTTTTTATACATAGTAAATTTGGACTAAGTTGAAGATTGTTATGATTTGATCAAATTTCATTTTATATACTTCATTTGTCTAGTTTATATCTATGATAAAAGGAATAACATCAAGTTCTATTTTTCCCTCTTCAAGAAAAATCATCCATGGTCTCCCACTCTCTCTACATCCAAAAAAGCTTCCTTCCTCTCAAGATTTTCCATCAAATTATATTCATATTTTACCTTATTTCATTTGCTTCAATTTCCTTTCGTTCATGAATTAAAGTTATTAGTTGTAATTCTTTTTCTATTCTATTTTATGTTCTATACTCTCAAGTTAATAATATATACTCTTATATTTCTTTAAGTCAATGACAAAAACTTTAATTTGGACAACTCAAACAGAACAAAATCGTATTATTGTTCTAATTAATTTTCTCTTACATTTTATTTGGATGAATACAACTCTACTCTTCAAACAATTTTTTACATAAAACAAATTTTGATTCATGTGAGAACTATTTTGTATTTTTATTTATGATCTACTTTAATATTTTCATATGATGATCTTTTAAGCTAAATACATTGAGCTGAGACTCTTAATTTTTTTTTTTTTAATTTTAGTTCAAAATTTTTTTCAGACATCTAATTTTGATGATCGTTTGGGACATCTTTCTTACTGATTTCTAAAATAATTTTTTTTACAAAAATTTCTAGTTTAAAAAATTATTTTAAAAAAAATGATAATAAAACTTTCCAAAATAAAACCTTAATATATATAGGAAAGAATGGCTCATATAGTAATAATTTTAGACATATAATTTTTGTGGACTACCTCATCATCTAATATATGTTAAATTTTTTCATCTTATATGATCATATTATTTTTACTCATATAAATTTTTTGTGTAAGATCAATACAAAACCAATTATAAAAGAAAGAAAAGTGCATTGCATACAATAAAAATACAACCAGAGTCACAATTACATATTACATGAAGAAAATACATAGATTATATACATATTTATTAGCCCCCATGATATCATAAACCCTTTCCTCTCCATAAATATTTTTCTCTCACAATCAATAATTTCATAAAAATTACACTCCCAACCTTAGTTTATAATAAATATTTCACAAATCACCCCTCCAATATTGAACTATTCTGCTCTTCCCCCACTCCCCCCATCCTCCCCTGCTCAACTTATTGCTCACATATATCCCAATCACCACAAGCACCGTCACCGCCACAAACACATTAACCACCACCTGGCTCGGCCTCCTTATCCCCTTCAAAAACCCAACTTTTATCTTCTCCGGCGCCGGTGCTGGCTCCGCCGCCTCATCAGCTTCCTTCTCCTTCTCTTCATGGCCAACACTCTTCGTCTCTGTTTCTTCCTTTTCCTTTTCCTTCAGCTCTTCCTCTTCCTTCTTCTGTGTTTCTGGCTCCTGCTTCTGCTCTGGCACCGGCAGCTTCTTCTCCGGCTCCGGCAAGGGTTCCGGCAGGGATTTTGGCGTTGGTGTTGGTGGTACTGTTGGCTTTGGTTCTTCAGTGATTAATTTTGGAAAGGTTATGTAGAGGATGTTGTTATCAAATCGTGCTCTGACGCCTCTAACGTCGCAGCTATTGGGGATCGAATGCTCTGTTTGGAAACGGCTCCACCGGCGGCCGGCGGCGTCTAGTGGCCGCTCGCCGATTGCTCTGAGGTTGCCAAAGTTGTCCATCTGGACTTTGAGCTGTTCCTTGCTGAAACCTGCATCAGCTCCAGAATGAGATCGAATTAGACTTTTAAGAGAGAGTAAGACAATGCATTTATAGCGGCAATTGGAGGATTTAATGATATAATTTTAAATTATACACAGGTGACAGGTCGGCTACACATTCATAATTTTTTTTTAATTCTGATAAATGATATTAGGTATGTCTTTTAAAGAAAATTAAATTTTTTGCTATAAATTTATATTTCTATTATGAGCCTTTATATTTCATATAAATGTGAATGTTTTAAAATTATTGTAGAGTTTTATTATTTTTTATGTTAAAATTACAAATATGGGCATATAAAAATCTTCAAAATAAGTATGAATATCTTTATTTTTTGTAAGCTAAAACTTTGATTTAAAATTTTAAATTGAACACACCATGATTTTAAAGGAATCGTGATATTAAATTTAACAAATATTCAATTTAATAAAAATTCAAAAAAATATAAATATTAAATAGTATTATAATTTAATCTTGAACTCACAATTAAAAAAAAAATCTTTTACAAATTAAAAAAATATATATATAAAAGTAAAGGTATGCCTGGAAGTCGAATAACGACTGTTTCTGAAGTATCATCTGAAATCCATTCAGCGTTTAAGAAGGCTTTCTTATGCTTCTTAAAATAATTTTTAGTACAAAAAAATTTAGTTTTTGTACTTAAAAGTTGTTTTAAAAAGCAAAAATAAAGCAGTCCCAAATAAAGCCTTAATTTAAGTCTTTTGCTTTGTGTAATGAATTATAATTTATATACACTTGTATATTTTAGCCCTATATATGATTAGCCATGCACATCATCTTTAATTTAATAAAATTCTATAGCTAGCTAGGTTTTGATAACATGAGTTATTAAAATTTGTAATTATGATTAATCATACTTAATGTGATAAATTTTAATTATATTTATAAAATTAATTTGGATAAAAAATCATATTACTTTCATAATATTCCCATAGGAATTATGAAATAATATATGATTTGATTGTTTTATCATAATGATTACATTGAGGATAGAATATCACATTATTTTCCACAATGAGCCCATAAATATGAATTAAGTTTATAATTTAATAATTATATCATAAGTAATTTATGAATAAGTTTGGGAAAAAAATTAGACCAAGTGCAATTTTCATATCATTTGATTATCTTTGCAATTTTCACATCATTTTTTGTTTATATAACTCCGATATTTTTTATATAATGGATGCTAATGTAACGCTACTATTTATCATATAATGAAACGTGAAAATAACTCCAATAGTCAACATATGATAGACATTAAAGTAACAGCATTGTTCATTATACAATGAATTAAAAGTTTAATGTAATATATCCCTATTTAAATGTCGGTTTATCAATGGAATTTTTGTCGATAACTTAGGCTTTGTTTAGGACAGCTTTATTACTGTTTTTTTTAAGTAGCTTTTAAGTATACAAATTTTTTTAACTAAAACTTTATGTACTAAAAAAATTGCTTTAGAAAACAGTAACAAAGTCATCACAAATAAAACCTCCATGGATAATTATTCGTCAATGGTTTATTTACTATATCATAGCTTGCTAGTATATTATTAAACATATTTTTGATAGACTTTGGGTAGCCAAAATGATTTTCATTGAGTTATTATTTTTATTTTTTATGATGGATGCATTTTTACTAAAAAAACCCATAAAAATGTAAAATTTCCAATAGAAAATAGTTTATTATATATGAAAATAAATATTTAAAACATGTTAATTTTTTTATATAGTGAAAAAGAGCTCCCAATAGCATTCAGATTAATTTGATTTATGTATTATTGGGCATATCAATATTTTAGATGATGCAACACATCATGCACCAATTGCAAGATAGAATTTAGCTTAGTGGACTGATTTGCTTAATTCTACTTTTCACTTATTATATTATTTGGATATTTGTTATTTTTTATATAATTTTTCATCATCTTTGTAAAATTAAATATATTATATATGTCTATGTTTGTTTTGATTATGCATACAAGGTGTAATTCTAAATCATCATTGGGATGGGCACAATATCACAAGATTTCACATAAATTTAAAATTAAAAAACAAGTAAAGACATGACCATAAGAAAGGCTCAACCAAACCTTTTTTCCACATTTAAAGCAATGAAGTGAAAAGGTCAACGGGTTGACCCACATTTAAAGGGAGCGTGCTTAAATGATGAAGAACTATATTATTAGTAGTCAATGATCTTATCCATTAGTTAAGAAGGTCAAATTTTAAGGGCAACAAATTAATAACGGAAGCGGACGGTCTACTTTCACACACCATCCAAAATCACACCTCTTTAGTGATGAGAATGGGAAGCTCTTTTGGTGGGATTATTTAATGAAAATGCTTATGATTATTTAGTTTATTGTTCAAAGAAGTGATATAGTGTGTTGGTGAAAAGATGAGGGGTTTATAGGGGTATGGAGGAAGAAATGCTTATATTAGTTCTATTTGGGCTAATTTTTGTTATTTTGCAAGATCAATTTAGTAAAAGAATTTTGAATGTGGTAAACAGCTAAAAATGATGGAAGAGGATTAACATAAAATGCAAACTTATTTTTTAAAGTATATGGTAGAGTTTGGTAAGGTTGAAAGTATTGTAGCGGTATGGAGAAAAAGACAAGATGCAAGAGATCGAGCATAAACCAGGCCAAGGGCTTCATAGTGTATTGATCTTGTGGATGTCTGGACCTAAAAGATGGCTAGGGTGTAAGGGAAGATGCTAAATATATTTAGAAGACAATTTAATAAGAGTTAAATAAGCATAAAAGATAATTAATCAATCATGCTAAAATTGATAAAAATATTTCATAAAACACTAACAAAAATAGAGCAACTTTCTCCAAGGTCTTTTTTATCATTCTAAAGTTAAATTTTCTCATTATATATATATTAGGACTATTTAAATAATTACAATTACTACGACCGATTAAAAACAAGAGCAAAAATTTAGAGGGAAAAGGAGTATGCGGTCATTTATGGAAAAATGTACTAATTTCCTTCAATAATTCATCTTATCTCTATTAAATGACTTGGCCATACATGTTCCTTAAAGATGAAATTTCAAATCTTCTTGATGCTAAATTTAAAATTTAAATATTAAAACTCTAACTTAATTTTTCTTCATGAGCGGGCTCTTGTAATGTACTTTGATTGAGCTCTTGCTTTAGCACATTAATAAGCTCTTATTTTATACTATTGTAATTGAACATTTAGGTTAAATTTTTTTTCACCTATTGATGTACTACATCACTTAGTTCCTTAGCTCCAACCAACCATATAAATATATAGTTTGATTTAAATTTCCAATGCAAATAAAAGGGAAGGATATATATGAGTGAAATGATTCATTAACCATTATTAGTTTAAAATTAAATTATGAATAAGTTGATATTTTTCTTTGTTATTGCTTGGTGGCTTAAATATTGGTTACAGACTTGGTAGCCAAATACTACCTCAATCCTCTAATAAGAGTTGAATGTTTTATATATCATTCATATAATTTCTCTTTAATTTTATCTCTTTATCACCTTTTTGGCATCTACATGCATTCACTCATCTTCCATCTCCATCATACATTCTAAAATAAGAGAACTGCCATATCAAGTTTGTTATATCCTCTCTTCAAATTCGAGCTTTTATGCCCTTAATGTTTTATATATCATCATAAATAAATATATTGATATATATATATATATATCATTGTTCTAAAAATCATACATAATACTCATGAGTCATACAAATACATAATTCATCTTCCTACTCTTGGGTATAAAATAATAACTAAACTATAAAAAGAAACAAAGCAAAAATAAAGCAAAAGGAATCCTGCAGTTGAGTAGTCTCACACACATGATCCCCTTTTCTAATCTTAAACTATTTAAACAACATATAATTTGCTGAAAATAATTAATCACAATTATATATATTTCTCCAACTTATAAGGCACGTACGTACATCCCAATGATCACAAGAACTGTCACAGCCACAATAATGTTCACCACCAGCTGACTTTGCCTCCCTACCACCACCTCCTCCTCTTTCTCTTCCTTCGGTTTCATTTCAAGCTCTTGCTTCTTCTCCGGCATCGTTGGAGTCGGGGACGGCGGCTTTGGCTGCTCTGTGTCGAGCTTGGGAAAGGTGACGTAGAGAGTATCATCGCTGAAACGTGCTCGGATGCCTCTCATGTCGTAGCTAGCATGTTTAATATTTAATTTTTAGATTCTATTATTGATTGGTATAATGTTTTTGTTATTTTATCAATTAACTTAAAATGAGTTATCGGGTTTCTTTTTTGACAAGTTTATTTAACAGGACTGATTCGGATTGATCGGATTCATGACGGGCTAATTTTGGGTCAGACCCAAATAAGACCCGTTGACCCATTTTGACACCCTTGATATTTGTATGAAATTTACTTATATATATAAATATTATTAATTGCATATTAATTTGATGTTGGGTAAGGAATCACAACCATTCTTCAATTTTGAAGTGGTGTTATTCCTCCATTGATTTTGGGTTTATATGAGGGTCACACCTCTGGAGGAGGAAAGGAAGCGGTTCTTTAGTGTCTTGTAAGCTTTTCTAGTGTAGTTCAGATGTTTTGCTTGTTAAATGGATTAGCTTTTCTCAATTTATCTCTTCATTTGGTGTTATTAAATATAATTTAGATCTAAAATTATGGTTTATCTTGGTATTGTTAGTTATAATTAATATCATTAAATCATTCAGGCTTTTTACTGGAGAAGGCTGAAGACCACTGCTGCTATTTTGCTAAATCATCTATCATTTACTGTTGTTACTCAAGACAGCAACCTTCCCCTGTATGGGATCCATCGTTTGGGACGGCTTTCTCATTGCTTCTTAAAACATCTTTCTTGTATAAAAATTTTATTTGTTGTACTTAAAAACTGCTTCGAGCCGTTCTAAATGAAACCTTAAACACCTCCCTACAACAATAAACATCTTTTAAATGTTATTGAGAGAGCACAAACCACTTGTT